TCCATCCATCCATCCATCCATCCATCCATTTTCTGTATCATCCATCCATCCATTCATTTTCTGTATCATCCATCCATCCATCCATCCATCCATCCATCCATCCATCCATCCATCCATCCATCCATTTTCTGTATCATCCATCCATCCATCCATCCATATAAAGATAAAAAGGTTCATTTGGACTCTTTCTGATGGGAATTTGTTAAAATCAGCTCCGTTCAGAGAGCATTGCATCATGGGATCTTTTTCCTGGATTCCTGAACACAAAAACACCAATCCCACATTTCCATCCAGTGCAGTCAGGAAGTGTTGGTCCGTAGATCCAAATTCCCCAAAGTCCCCTTCACGATCCCATTTCCTCTCCACCGTTCACAGTCAGAATGTGTGCTGTAGTGATGCCTGTTGACCGCCGTCGTTGCCCCCGGCGACAGCACACCTCGCCACATCCTCCCGTTACTACAGCAACCGCCTTCAGACGGCGGTCCACGACAGTGGGATGGTTTCTTTTTGTTCAGGTATGTGTGGAAACCAGACAACACTGAGCCCCACCTCCGTTTGGAGCATTTTTAGGCCACGTTTGGCTCATATCACATTTAAGAAATGAAAACACCTCAGATTTATGAGACTTAAAGGTACACTGTGTAGGAATTTCTCAATCTAACAGTGAAATTGTATTTAGCTTTCGCGTTTTCAAATGGGCATTACAGCTACGGTAGCCGTCATGCATCAGGAAGTAACGACAACATGACTTCCACATCATGGAGTTTGTTTTAAAATTTAAAATAAATGACAAACTGCATTGAATCATTAGTGGGAGCCTGTAATTCCTCTTCCAACAACATAGTGAATCACGTCGCCATGTTAGCTTGTTTTTTTTGTTTGTAGCTCGCCGTTACTAGCCTATGTCGTAGCTAGCGTTAGCTAACAACTTGACGCGCAACAAACAAACGAATGTTACAGTATGAATCACAAACTGAAAAGTTTGAACTATGCTAATTAGAAGTGAGATATTCTATATCTGTTTATTTTTCCATAAACGTGCGTTGTTAGGTACGGTTTCAGTCAGGTGACTCTGGCTCTGAAGGAAAATGTGTTGTGGATTAGCTAGATGGGTAGACTAGTGCTTTATGTCCCTCTCTGCCATTCAGTTTTTCAAAATGGCGGATCGCTATGGAAACCTTCGTAGACTTACCCGTCCTGTGTAGATACAGATAGGAAATTCTCCCTTATGAGGAGAAGTCAGGTCATTTTACACCAAGTTAGGACACATTTATAAAGCAAGAAAAATATTTTAGCTGATAAAATACTTAAAATATGACGCAGTGTCCCTTTAATAAGACGTGTAAATGTTTATTTTATTTGTTTCTTTTATTTGCGATGACACATGCCGACTACTTGTGTTTTGTGGTGCAAAAATGGACAGAAGAGGCCGGGAGGGGGAGGGGGGGGGTTCACAGTGAACGTTCCTTTATTAAGACATGTTTTCCAGGCCTCGGGGGGGGAAATCTTATGTCTCACACATTACAGACATTCAGAGGAAACATTCTCCACGGCGATGTGCAAAAACAGCGTATGAGAGGAAAAGGGCTACATTCTCCGACTGTACACCGCTAGCCCCCCCGCAGCCCGCCGGCCACACGGAGGAACCCCATTTCCCTTTTTTTCAGCTCCTCCAAACACATAAATACCAACAACTTCAGTTCGTTGCATTGATTTTAGCACATAAAAAGAAGAAAAAGATGAAAAAAAACGTTTTTTCTGACAAACACACCAACAGGTAAAAGGCTGATTCTGTATTTTTTTAATTCCTCGGTGGGCCAATTAAATTTGCTCCGGTCTTAGTTAGACCACTCTAACCAGAACCGGGGGTCCACCATCCATAGATGAAATTAAACTCTGTGTGTGGAGGGAAGGTTAAAGTCCAATCCTTTATCTGATCTGATTAATCAGAGACAAGCCGTCATGTTTTGGGCCTTAAAGACCAAAGAGGGATTGCATTGTTGGTCCTTTGGGTTCATATTTATCGGTATTTTCCCTCATTAAAAGTTTTTCTTAACCTTTTTATCAACCACTTTGTGGAGCTCATTTTAGGAACTGACCCATGCGGAGCATCTTTAAGACTTCATTTGTGTGTTCTGGGCTGAAACACTCACTTAATCAATCTATAAGGTCCAAAAAAACGACAAAAAAAATCCAGTAAATGAGGAAATCTAATTAAATATCTTTCATTTGCTTCTCTCAGTGTGGAAGTTAAAGGTCTGAAAATATATAATGAAAGAGGTTAGAATGTTTTCCCCATGTCTTATTGATCTGTACTGATAAATAGGAAGCCTGCTACTGTCTTTGAGCTGAGTGGACTCTAATAACGAGAGGAAATAACTCTGCGGCTCACTAATTAACGCTGATTTGGCGCTTTACCCAGATCGGACCGTCCTCAGATCACTGACCCCGCAGCCTGCCGTCGTTTATCTAACGCGGTTTATTTGATCACAGAAGTAAATCTAAGCAGAACTGAGCATTTTGGCAAATAAATTCTGTCTACTACTGGCCTTTGGAGGTCAGGGAGACTAATCAAAGAGCTGAGAGACGGATGGACGAGTCATGTGAGCGAAAGCTCCCCTTTGGGGGTAAACTCTGACTCTTACTGGGGTCAAGTGCTTCACACAGTGGTCAGTAAACGCTAAAAATCCCAGATGCCGAGTTTTGTTTTACCCCCTTCTCCTGCGTAGTTAGAGCTTAAGGCTCGATGGCGCCCATTTTCCGCCACCTGTTCCTGTTTAACGTCCCGTAGTTTAGGGCGGGGCTACTTTTCCAGCGTGCTGACCTTCTACAAACCTGCTGATTGAACCCCCCACTTAATGGGTGATATACAGACTGACTTTTAACATTAGAAAAGTCGTTATTATGGTTATTTTGGCTGAAAAGTGGGTTCATCCTAACCAATCCTTACAGTCCCATATCAGGAAATGGATGGCCGTTGGCATCTGGTCATGGTTACTTCTTTATTGTTCATTTTACTGATGACCACATGCACCTCGAGGCTTACCTGCAACTTTTAGTGGTTCAGTTGTTTTATTTTTAGACACTGAACTAGCAGCAATTGCTCAGTTTATTTTACAGAATCAGACAAAACCATTAGAGTAAGAAAAAAAGAACATAAACTGTTTAAGAAGTTCGTCGGACTAAATTGTAGTTTTTGATAAAAGGATGGAAATGAAGGTGTATGTTAATTAGTGAGCCTCTGGGTTTCCCTTCAAACGTCCACTTTTTATGATCACATTCAGGCTCAAGATTCACTGGAATTCACGTTTGAAACATGAAATTTAAAATAAATGAGGAGGCCATCAGACCTGGCTGAGTTTCCATGTTTCTGGTCACTGGATGGGATAAATACGAAGACTGGTGGCGTGGTGGGTGTGAATCAAACCCTCCAGGTTGCCAGTTTAAACCCGTAAATGTGTGAGGAACCGGTCCCGGAGCAGCTGGATCCACACACACACACACACACCACCCTAAACACACACAGAGCTCTTTAAAATGGGATTATCACAGCAGCAACACTCCTCCTTCTCACTCACTCACGTACAGCGTCCATCTTCCTCTTTCCTGGAGTGTGAAACACAGTGATGTGGTCAGAATACGCTCAGAACGACCCCCCGATTCCTCATTTCCATCCCTTTGTCCGCCCGTCTTTGTCTCGTTAATCAGGTCTAATCAGAATTCCGCATTAAGCGAAGCTTCCTTCTGTTGTCGGAAACCAGGAAAACAGACTCCGGCGGCCGGTTTAACCCGGCCTGTCCTCACGCCACACGCACAAAACAAGAAGGTTTCTGCGATAACGGATCACAGGTTACCTCTGGAGGGTGGTTTTATGTTTTTATGGTTCAGATTAGAGTCTGTCTGCATTCTGAAAGCATCCCCTTTAGCTCACCACGCTTTGTTTTAGATGCTAAATTAGCCAAAATGTTATTTTGCTGTTGTAATTGTTGTGTTTCTTAGTGATAACCCACTCCGTCCACCCCTCACAGTCTTCTATTAAAGTCCCTAACAAACGCCTGTCTGCTATTCGTCAATGCTCCTAAAAACTGCTCGATTTCCAGCCTTAGCGTGCTGCCGGTCAGTTGTGTTGAGCTTGGATGTCCAGCGGGTCCAGGATGGGGATGACAGGGGGACGACATTTCTCCCAGACCTGGAGCTGGACGAGACTGGGAGTGAAGACGATGCTAAAATACAGCGAGAGCTCGTTTGGGTTCCACCAGGTTGATTCCTCGAAGTTTCCTGAGTCAGAGCAGACCGTGTTCTTTTTTGTTTTTTTGTATTGCAGGTTTCCTGTGCTTTATTTGGCTGTAGCTCCTGCCCATCTCCTCCTCGTAAATATTTAGATATTAGGTTTGATTCAGAGCCCGAGACAGACACAGATTTGACTTAAAAAATAATCATTTGAAAGAAATTTGAGCCGTGGAAAGTATTTATGAGTACTAAGTATAATGCTGAGGCCCATTTAAGTAAAAAAGGAGGGATTTAATTCCCAGTTTAGTCCAGTTTTGGGTGGCCATTATGCTTCAATCAGCTGTGCTTAATATATATAATAAAGTTATTATAAACAAGCTATCAAATTGAATTAGGAGCAGTTTCCCAGAAGCTTTTGTAAGGATTCCCAATTTTTTATTGAGTTATTATTAAACATGAGTTATTCTCACGTTTTTCAGAGGAAATTGCAGTTCCTTGGGGGGTGGGGGGGGGGGGGAGATGGGGTCATTGGAGCTGGAGTGAAGCAGCTGTCTGTTTGCATGACGGTCAGCATTCATCCTTTGAGATCTTAGAGAGCTGCTTCTCAAAAAGTGTCCAGTACTGTAGATGGTTTTTCTATAAATCAGCATTATGAATAACAAAGTTTTGGATTAGACACAGTGAGGATGCGTACAGGTACCGAAGCTAAGCCAAAAACGTCCACTGAACGCCACCTCTTTTCGTCCTGTCGCTTCCACCTAAATACGATCTTTTTCTTTTCTTATTACAGACTGTTTATATGATCCCGCGCTTTTTCTTATATCGGCATCTTAAAAAGAAAAGCAACCATTTTCTTTTTTAGTTCAGGGAGGAAACATGAGGAAACAAATTACTAAGTCAAGAGCTACTTCCACGCTCTGGCCTCCACGTTTGGAAAGTTTCTCTGTTTCCCTGAAGGCATCACTGATTACTCTCAGTGTGGCACCATTTGTTTTACTAGCCTCCACTTTAGCTTCTCCGGCTATACAGTTCGGCTATTTTTCTCTCTTACTAAGTGTTGTTGTTTTTCCTGTCTTTTCTCCCCCTCTCCCCGCTAGTTCTTTTTGTTCTTTTGCCCATGGCTTTTTGGATGGCGTTTGGCGGTCCTCAGCAGTGGAGCTTGAAGACGATCAGGACGATCCGTTTGTACTCCTTCCTGAAGTTGTGGTTCAGCGCGCCGTAGACCACGGCGTTGAGGCAGCTGTTGAAGTACGCCATGAAGTAGCTGGCCGTGAACAGCCACTCCGGTATGGCCCGGCTCAGCCTGGAGTCCAGCGCCACCGCCAGGCCGATCAGGTTGAGCGGCGCCCAGCACACGGCGAACAGCACGAAGACCACGAACATGGTGAGGAAGTTGCGCAGGTCGTGCGGCTTGATCTTGGGCCGCGAGTCCGGCTTGACCCGCCGCCTGACCTGGATCACCAGGATCCAGATGCGCAGGTAGCAGTAGGTGACGATGCCGATGGGCAGGATGAAGTGCACCACCACCACCGTGATGGTGTACAGCGAGCTGACCGACTGGGCGAAGGTGCAGGAGTATACCCGCGGGTCGTACTGCAGGGACTCCACGAACCAGTTGGGCACGATGGCCAGGATGGTGAGCGCCCACACCAGCACCACGTAGCACATGGTGTTGCTGCCGGAGAAGAGCTTGTCGTACTTGAGGTTGTGGCAGATGTAGCAGTAGCGGTTGATGGCGATGCCGGTGATGTTGAAGATGGAGCCGATGACGCTGAGGCCCATGAGGAAGCCGCTGATCTGGCAGTGGATGTAGCCGGCGATCCAGCCGTCGTTGAAGATGGCGGTCAGCACCAGCGGGTAGGGGTAAATGGCCACCACCAGGTCAGCGAAGGCCAGGCTCACCACGAAGGCGTTTCCTGGAGGTGGACAGGAGGGCGAGGGACATGGGGTCAACACACCGCAAACAAGAAGGAGACTCCACGTGCCGCACCTTTAAAAAGGGGTGAAGTCACAAGCAAATAGACATATCTGAACATATAGAGGGGGGCCTGTCTTTTAAGCTATGGTTGGAACACATCTTGAAAGCTGCCATGTTGGATCGAGGGCAACTCATTTTCAATGGGACGGAGCTCGTGTAGCACATCAAAGAAGGGCAGAACTGTCTCAGAAATCATTTGCAGTCAGATTTGCAAAAACTTTTGTGGTTCAAAAGTTCTCAATGCAGAAAGTACAAAAGCAGTCTTAGATCAAACCTCAGAATTAGACAATAAAGCCACAGATAAGCATCTGATCTTTTAAATAAATTCCATATTAATACAAAAGCCCATATTAATACAAAAGCCCAGGAGCTACATCTCAGACTCTACAGGCCTCAGTTAGAAGGGCAAAGGTCAAAGGTCAGGACAGTACAGCTAGAAATGGATACATGCAGCAATGATTACCAGAGAATCAGTCAATCAAACCTGTAGCATGAGGAATTCGGGATAACTGAGACTAAACCTGAAGTTTTTAGGAGTCAAAAAACTACAGCTCCGAATGACTTTGTGATGAATATTTAGCATCAAAGCAGGTATTTACATATTCAATGCCTGCTGTAGAAGAATGCACAGAGTTTGAGCGTAAAAGAACCGTTCTGAGAAAACTCTCTGAGGGAAAATGCGATAGATGTTTGAGTCACAAAAACCCTTCCAGCTGTAACAGACTTAACTTTGTATGCACAATGTTTTTTATTCTTCTTTAATTTTCTCTGATTCGTACTTTGAAGTGGTGGATATGCGACGACACCCCTCTACAAGTGTTAGAAACGGATTTAAATTGGCTCCAAATGAAAAGAGGAAAACAGCCAAAGGGGTAAGTACAATGAAGGCAAGCACCTGTTTATAGGATTCAAAAATAATTTTTGAAGTTGGTACTGAGTTTGCAACCTCAGTCAGTCCTTTGAGATTTATTCTTTTATATCTGCTGCATAATGGAGATGTGCAAATGGGGTTGTTTGTTGCCATTTATACATGTTTGGGGTATGCAAGCCGAACCAGGCTGGATTTCGACAGGCTCCCTGAATGCTTGAAGTTTGACTTTATACCTGACCATTTAAAGAGGCATTTAGGGCAGAAGCCATCATTTGTTCCCAATCTTTTAGCCGATGCGTGAAAAAGGCCAAAGAAAACAGAGTTTGACAGACAGGAAACAGGATTTCTGAGGATTCCCAAAGAGCTGCTGGCTGAAAACTGGGCAGATCTCAGCAACATTTGAGGACTACATACCGCAGTCAATGAAATGATCTCCTGGCATATTAAACAATCAGGGTCCTTAGAACCTGGTTTGTATTTACTCTTATTTACATAAAAGTTTGTGTAGAAAACACATTTCTTACACTCATAAAGATTAAATAATCCAACATTAAGAACAAGAAAAGAGGGGATATTTTAAACCGAACAGAACATTAAAGATAGATTGTAGAGAATAGCAAACAAAAAAGGAGGGAAAAAGATCCCTAACAAATAGGTAGACTAACGGTGGATCTGTGGACATGCTTCCCCGAATCCCCTCCGCAAAACAGTAAATCTTCACGATCGTGACAGGACAATGAGTAAAAACTGCCGAGAGAGCACGCGTTCAGTCCAACAAAGCCTATTCTCCCCCCCATCAGACAGCTTTAGAATACACCTCATCTAAAGCTAATAACATGCTGTCGCTGCTCCCCTGGGCAGAAACAAACTCTGCACAACAGCCTCGGCTGCAGGTGGACTTGATTTTATTCCCATTTTTCTGCTCTTTACCCGGGCAGATGCTGCATTCTCTGGCAGCAACACGAGCTCCCACCTTGCTGATGTGCTCTAAAGGTCTCTTACGCGGTTAAATTAAGCCCAAGGGGGCTGATTTAGGAGTTTAACATTTACCTGGCGTGACCCGGGCAGCGTTTAAATAGTTTATTTCTCTCCAGCGTTACGAGCGCTGTAAAGCTTTAATAAAACTGTCCCGAGCCTTAACAAGATTAGCCCTGCAGATACAAATCAGACACAAATCAGGCTTGTAGATGCAGAGACGCAGAAATGTTGTCGTGGGCCGTCTCAGCCCGGCTGATTTAGCAGGTTTGATGATCAGAACCTGGATTCTACCTAGCTTAGATTCCGCATGGGGCCTCGTATCTGCTGCCTGGCGCCTCTGATTTCTGCCTGGACCTCCTCCAGCTCCTATTCCTGCGCCTCTTGTTTAAAAAAAAAGCTTCTGCAGAGTCTCAGATCTGCTTCCATCCGGCGTTGCTTTGATGTTCAGCTCAGAGCCGGTCGCTGGTGGAGAGTCCGACCTGAGAATCTCAGGGGGCCCAGGTCTGGACTCTGTGGGCCCCCTGAGCCCCTCTTCCTCAGCCTGAGCCCCATGAGTCCTGCTCGGTCTCCATCAGGGAGGAAAACCTTCTGATGGTCTTCAGGCAGTCAGCTGACCTCTTTCTTTGGTTCCACCTGCTTTTTAACTGCTTTTTATATCTGCTCTTTACTTTATGTTCACGATTTTGAAAAAGTTGAACAAACCTGACTTTTCTCTCCATTTCGCGACCCGTAAACAACTTTTATAACAGTATGGCCTTCACAAACTTGCTTGCTTATTTGGTCCCCAATAGGAAACAAATCTGAAGTGGGTGCAAATCATGGACAAACAACCCCCCCGACCCTCTTAAGAGGCTAATAAGCAGGTGTAGGAAGTGGATGAATGGTTCTCAGCTCCACCTCTACACTCGTCTCCTCTCAGCTGTAGCCCCCCCCCCTTCATTCGATTCCGGGATGCACCCTGGTTTTCCCACTAACCCTTACCTCTTTCCAGATACCTGGTCTTGGTCAGGCTTTTTCATTCATTGAAACCTTTGTAAGCTCTGGGCTTTATGACACGGCGGGCTCAGAAGGAGGAAGAACAGACCAGGTTTAAGCTAGCGATCTGTTCATTGTATGGAGGTGAGGGAAGATATGCCATAAAACAGAGACGCTCATATCTGCAGTGGCTAAAAAAACATCTATCAATCACCGTTATTCTGAACCCAATTCTACATTTGGGCTTTGATACAGACTCATTTCTGCTGTATTCAAACTTTAGGAAATACTTCCCCACGTTTAACAACGTCTGGTAGCTTTTTTTCCTCTGATTCTTCTTATAATTAAGTGAAATATCCATCACTGGTGCGCGTCTGCTCCACTCCCTTCTTCTTCTGTACTTGAGGACAGACGGCGTTAAGTAAAAGCGTTTGACCTTTGCTTCGATCTACGATCTGCTCCCGTCTAAACTTGACCCCGAGCAGAACTTAGACCAGGCCCAGGCGGACTAGAACTCATCAGGCATTTCCAGCCGAATGTCAGCGCGAGCTGCTGCCGGATTGAAACTCTCCGTGCCTCGGGGCTGTTCCTCACCTCTCCTCGCCTTAATGAACGCGTTTTGGGCAGAAGCTTTTATCGGAGCACAAACAGAGCCGGCGCGCTCATTAACCTTGGCAGCCTCAATGAGACCTTGTTAAACCTGTATTCACTACTTATCACTCTATGACTCCATCTTCATTATCGCCAGGCATCGCTCTTAATATTCCGGGTGATGCTCCTGGCTGCCGCACATCACAGGTTCCAGGGAAGAGCTCCGGCTCGCGGGGCGGAGACGGGGGACTTGTTAGCCGCCAGTCAATTTGTATTAGTTGCTGATTCTGTCTCTATTATTGCGTTTGCCCTTGGCAGCCGCACCCCCCCTTTGGTGTTAACCGGGCCTGTGTGCTAATGAGCTGGGAAGGAAAAATGGAGCGATGGTGAGCGGTTCGATTCCCGGAGAGGGCCCCAGTGATTCATTAGTGCGGCAAACGGCGTAAAAGAAAGCGGCCGAGGATCACTTCAACGGGAATACCTGCTCTCAACCGGATATTGGGAGGAAAAAAATCATAGAAGACGTCTGTCAAATGCTCACCTCAAAATATCGGGGGGGATATTTTAACAATAAGAGGTGCTATCGAACCTCGACAAGAAAAGGAAAGCCAAAGGAACATCCCTCCATTTTTGTAATTGCTTATTCCCTAATTGGGATCCCAGTAGTCAATGGGGCAAGAGGCAGGTTACACCCCGAACCGTCCACAAGTCGACACAGAGACACACAAGGACCAACAACCACACACACTCACTCCTAAGGGCAGTTTGGAGTCCAACCAACCTAACATGCAGGTTTTTGTATGGTGGGAGGAAGCCGGAGAACCCGGAGAGAACCCACAGACACAGGGAGAACATGCAGACTCCACCCAGAAAGGTCCTGGTTCCCCCGGGATTCGAACCCAGGACCTTCTGGCTGTGAGGCCATGGTGCTGACCACAACACCCCCAAACGAACATCTTACTTTTTTAGTTTTGACCAGCAAAACTGAGCGGACTTGAAATGATTTTAGGCTAAAACTAGCATGAGGGGGCCAGACTTCATCACATTGGCCTGGGGAGCCCTTAACGCTGGAGGCAGACATCTATTGGCTCCAGGTCCCTTTTCCATCTTAAAATCCAAATTAAAAGAGTCGGTTTGAGTGGTCACAGGTCTGCGATGGAGGGTGTTCAGTCTTAAACTAAAATTCTATAGTTTGTGTTTGTGACACTGCTGATGCTTTAAGAAATAGTCATCTCTACCCCCCGGTGCTTCTCCTGTCCTCCAGTCCTGCTTAAAAGCCAGCATATATCTGAGTCCCTGTCTCCATCTTTGGTCGACTTATTGAACTAAAGCCTAAAGACACTTATACTCCATGTGAGCTAAGAGTTATTATCCCTAAAATGATCAGACGAGTTGTTTGTTCATGCAGTTTGCGAAGACAAACTGCATTTGTGAGGTGGAATCGAATCTAAACCAAGTAATTTGGGGATCTTAGCTCTTAAACCTGAGCAGAGAGCCTTAAAAAACTATTTTAATCTGCATCTGTCCTGGACTAACTTCGTTTTTCACGATACTCTTGTG